CATTTTCTGAAGAAGGGTCTAGACCCAAAATGTCAGCTTTCCTGCTCCTCTGATGCTGCTTGGCCTGCTGTGTTCATCCAGCTCTACACCTTGTTGTCCATGGATGGAAGGTTGGCTTCTGTGATGGTCTGGGCCGTACACACCACCTTCTGTAGTTTCTTATGGTCCTGGGCCATTATGCACCTGGACAGTATGCTTTCAATACAAATGCCACAGCAACAGGAGGGCAAAGGGGGAATCTATTGGCGTAGTCCCCCTGGCCATTTCACCGCACCCTCTGCCTCAGAACCCATCTGGATTTACTGATAAAACCCAGCCCTGGGACTGCAGGGGGCTCATAACCTTTTCGTAAGGTGACCTGAAGGCACACACACCCCAATATTCAACCAGATTATATTGCAGAGACAGACTGAAGTATACAAAGCTGGATTTTCAGTAGTGAGCAAGCTCAAAGTGAAAATGCCCCTGTAATTGGGCAGAGGTACCGCATGGTCAATACATGAATGAGTAAGAGTGGGTTAAAAGCTCAGTGAGCAATTCACTCATCAGATAGCAAAGTCAGCACACTCATGTATGAAAATAACTATTCTTTAGTTCAAATACTTTACATGGCCTTTCATACTTTGGCTTGAAACAATCTCAACAAATTTTGAAACAAAGACTAACGTGCCGCCAAAAAAAGATAAATTGAACGTTCAGCTGGTGAGAACAAGATACTCAGAGTCATAAGTCTCCTCCAATTCTCAGAAGGAATACTTGCCAAGGTCATGTATGTGTCCACTAACACCACCACAGAATGTTTTTGGTGCAGCCAACTTACTCAATATTGGCCCCACATTCATTCCATTAAGATCATCATTCCAGGACTAAAATAGGAACTCACGCAGTAAGCTTTAATATGACATTTTATTCAATGGGAAAGGCACCATCTTTTTATTTAAATAAACGCAAAGTGTTGGAGAAATTCGACAGATTTGGCACCATCTGTGGAAAGTTATGAATAAGAGTCACACCGTACGTGAAACATTAACTCTGTTTTTCTCTCTGCATGAATACTGCCTGACCTGTTGAGTTCCTCTTTATGTTTCAGATATCCGCCATCCACAGCATTTTATTAATTTCTATGTTTTTGAAGTTAGTTGTGTTTTTTCTGTGTTCATTCTTGGAGTATAGGTGTCATTGACTGGGCCAGCAGAGGAAGCAGTGGCCTTGTGTTGTTATCGCTAGAGTGTTAATCCAGAGACCCAGGAAATGTTCTGGGAACCTGGGTTTGAATCCCGCTGTGGCAGGTGGTGGAATTTGAATTCAGTAAAAAGGAAAAAATCTGGAATTAAGATTCTAAGTGATGATCATGAAACCATTGTCAATTGGTTCACTGATGTCCTTTAGGGAAAGGGGCTCCTACTTACATGTGACTCTAGACCCACAGCAATGTGGTTCACTCTTAATTGCTGTCCGAGCAATTGGGAGTGGGCAATAAATGCTGGCCTAGCTAGTAATGCCCTCATCCTGTGAACAAATTTAAAAAGAAATCTCTAGTTGTCCTTGAGAAGATGGCGCTGAGATGCTGCAATCCATTTGTGAGTGACACTGCGCTCTGGTTAGTAAAAAATTCCATTATCGTTGTTTCAGATGACACCAAGATGGATGCAGTCAAATCAGGCCTTTTTAAAGCAGGAAGTGCTGGAAGTGGCCCAGCAGGTCAGACAGTATGTGTGGAGAGAGAGAAACAGAGTTAGCTTCTCAAGTCTGGTATGGGGGCTCTTCACTGGAACTGAAGCTAAATCACATTCAACTTGATCTGTTCATTCTGCTTTTCTTTCTCCACACTTGTTGCAGACCCGTTCTGATACTTTTTTTTTCCCATTTCAGACCTCCAGCATCCACAGCTTTCCACCTAATATGAGGAAGGACTGTTATGTTAACTTTTAACTTTATATTTCTACTTACACTAAGAACAATGGTAATGCTTTACTTTCAACTTTGTTTCTCTTTGTTACTACTCGGACCTACGTTTTGTACCTATGTATCTTCATACCTAAGTCGGTACTGTGTGTGGTGACATTGTACACTTTTCACTGTACTCCTGTACTTGAGTACACGTGACAATAAAGCTTAAATCAAATCAATTTTGCATCTGTTTTAGTGCGTATGAGATCTTGTATTTCTGTTACCGGCCCCAGCATTTCTTATGTTCTTGTGCAACAGGGAGGTCACAATAGTTAGAATCTGGATTGAAAAGGCTGCTCCTCCAAAGGGGGAGAGTTACAATACAGTATGTCTCACTATTTAACATTCTCCTAAAATCCCAGCACTTTGGAGAATGATCCTACTACATTATCCTTGGAAATGATTCCACTGCCCATTATACATGAGTAGAACCTCACCACCTTTCCATTCCCCATTATCTGGGAGAAGATTACATTATCTTGGGAAAGACCCACATCATCCTTACATTACCCTTGGGAAGTTCCCATCACCTTGATACTATCTTGGGAATCCGACACAAACGGCCCAGCAATATTTAGCGTGACTGGGCACGTTCCAGCCAACATGGGCTGGCATCTAGTTTTTCTGTCCTTGTGTAAGTGGGCTTTTGCCCAGTGCCACTCTGGGTGATCTTGGCAAGTTCAAATTCTACGTCATTTCCTCTTGAATTAGCACCTAGTGCCTAATTTACAATTGGAACAA